TGTTGATGCTTCCATGCTAGTGGGCTTCCTGGGGCCTCCCGTGGAAAAAGAATTAGACCCATTCCAATAGAAGAGAATATTGGTAGCTCAGGGTTGAACTGTGGAGTTCTTGATGCTCTCTGAGGTTGGCTGTTTGCTTGTAGACGTCCCATTACCCAGCTAGGTAACATCATCAGTTCCAGTGAGTGTGAGGTTTGCTGCCTGTTTATATGTAGTAGCTTGCACTGATGATGTTACCTAACTGGGTAATGGGACGTCTGCAGGCAGACCACTAAGCTCAGAGAGCACCAAGGATTCCACAATTAGACCCATGTTCACGCAATAGCTAAGAACAGATTCTAAAGTTTTCAGCACAAATATGGATGCGATTTCATTAGGGCTTCCTTCTAAGATCAAAGGTCACAAGTTGTAATGCACCAGCCTTTAGGTGCATTAGAGAACATAGTTTTGGGCAATGAACACTTTTCACTGAGTGTGTTTTTGACCTCGTTTAAAGGTAGCATCTAGGAGTGGACATGTCTGCACAATAGTGCCTTCTAGATATTAATTCAGCTCCCATCCTTCTCTCTCTCAACATGCACACACAGGTATACACAGCCAAGGGGAGTTTTCAGGAGGTACTTGGTTAAGGAAGGTTGCAATATGAAATGCATATAAAATGTACAACACAGTTTATACCATGGAAAACGAATTAGTGCAACCTGCATGCTAAAGGCAGTGGTGCAGATTTCTTTTTTCCCACCATCTCTTTTGGCTTAATGCATGCATGTTTGATTAATCATAGGCTGGAACAATCAGATCTAATTAGTATTTCAAAACTAGAAACCAGTTTCAGTGACCTCTCTGTAGCCTTCTGAAAGGGGACCAAACTCTGTCTCATATCCCTTAAAACAGATGTTCTTATCCATAAGGACTAGGAACTTGTTTCACTTACTTAGTTTTAAAAGAAAAAATGTGCTTCTCAGTATGAAATCTTTCCTTTTTATATGTTGTAACAACATTCACACAACTGTAAATGTCATTCCCATTCAGTGCCTCAATTGTTTAGTTTTGCAAATTAGTCCTCAAACAGATAAATTCTAAACCAGGCATTCTAGGCCTGCTATTTTCATTGGTCTCTCCGGGAAAATGAAACACTGAGCTCACATGAATGTAAAAGGCACTTTTGACATTTTTATCTGCTCTGCAGCACTAAAGCACAGAGACACTTCATTATCAGGATTGCAAATTCCCAGGAACCAAATAATGATGTCACCACATTGTCCCAAGGAAGCGATATTTTCCCTTTGCAAAATTCCAAATGCAAACCATGATTGAGGTGGGAAGGCTTGGATATCATGTTGCTCTCCAAAATAAGACCAATAGGCCGTGGTGATCCCAAGGATCTTAGCAAAGCACAGTTACTTAATA